TGGCTGATAAGGACTTGAGAATCAGCGGGTGGAGCCCATCAGGCCGAGCAGGCTTGGTGCCATCAAGGCTGGCGAGTAGTCGACTCCCATCCACACCACAATCCAGACTGAGTTCGGTAAAGACGGTACACACCGAACTCGGCACAGATACCTGGATATTTGCAAACACGGAAGCAAAGTGCGCTTCCAATGCGCACGAGCGCTCGGTGCTGGGACTCAAGGGCTGTCCGCGAGCGCTATCACCAGTAGGTCACCTACCGGTTTCAGGCGCCGTTTCATGTATGTAAAGTTCTCCTCGGGGCAGTCTTTGCTGCGGTTGCAAGTTGCTCTTCGAAATGTTTGCGTGTGTTCGTCTTCACATTGTTGCAAACGTTTGGCTGCTTTTTATACATCTCACAGTCGTTGACCGAACGAGAGAGGGAATTTGTCCCCCAGTCTGCGCTACCGCTGAGCAAGCTTACAATGTTCCTTGTCAAACCAATGTGGCTTGACCGGTCCGACTTTCCGACAATTGAGTGGCACAAGCTGGCTAGACAAATAGTCAACTTTGTCCTTTACAGCTGATCAACAAGCTCCAATGCGTGCATACTGCAGTAGAGACCACAACACTTCGTACGCAGCTAATCAGGCAATCGAAATCCATCTTCCAGTAGTTGTAAACTGGCTGCAATATGTGGGATTGCTGCAGCGACAGTTCCACGTGAGCAGTAAGAACTGAGTGGTCGATGGCTGTTAGAGGCTCCAAAATCTGAGTGTCATACACACGTGCAAAGCTAGTTAACATCAAGTGTAAGCATGAGGGAGTTGAGCGCGTCGGCTGGCAGATGTGCTGTCCCAGTTTCAACTATCATATCAGTGAATTTTGCTTCAGCCTCAAAATATCCGGTGATAAGTTGAACCTAAGGTCAGCGTATTCGAGGACAATTGAAATCGCCTATCAGTAAAAAACGACGGCGACTCATGTTATCTAGGAGATGCAGCAGCAAATCCAAACAAAGGCTAAGAGGATTATGATAGAATGCACCCACGAACAGCTCTCTGTATCTGAGGTGGATGGAGCACAACTGCTCACATAAGCAAGCTTCGCTTCGATGAGCGCACATGAGTCGCCCACACAGAGAAGACCGGATGTAGTGCAAGAGGCTATCGTGGGCATTCGGTAACCTATCAAAAAGCGGAAGCACGAGTAGCCACTAAGCTCGACTTCCCGGATTGAGTACCTCGTCGTTCAACCACGTCTGTGCGAGTCCCATTACATCGGGTCGTTCGAAAGCAACGGAGCGGCACAGCTCAAAGCACTTGTACACGAGACTGCAGACGTTGGTAAATGCTGCACGTAGGTCACGGTAAGAACAACTGGACGTGCCTGAAGTGTGAGCGACCGATTTATCCGAATTCGCGACGTGTTAGAACCATCCGAAAATATTCAGTAGGTAGGTTTGTTTCTCCCTAACCGATTCACCGCTTTAGCTCGACGATGGCACATTTGAAGCTCCCCCCGGGTCAGTTGTATCTATATTAGAACGAATATGCGTCCTCTCGCCTCTCAGTAGAGACAGTACTACCTTAGGACTGACATCATCGCTGAAAGCTACCCGATCCTTCTCAGCAATGTTTTGCCGAGGCGGATAACTTGTCTCACTTTCACTCTGTCCTCACCCACATGGAGGAGCCTATCGGACAGGCTCTGTAAAAAGCAAACGTCATGATAATAACTTGCCTGATGACTTGGGTCGTTGGACTCAGACGCGTGAAAAAAGCATCAGGTTTGATCATCTCTTATCATTTGAAGCGGTTCCTGTGGGAGGATGGTTGCTCGAGCATTGCTTGACCTGGCCTGTTTTCGATCAGCAGCGGGAAGCTTCACTAAGTTACGCGACTTCTTCCGTCGTTGAGTTTTCCATCATTCCTCAACCACTAGAAATTCATCTGTCTTTATAACAAGCAAAGCGCCAAGTCAGCGGATCATTAGCCTCAGTTGGTGTCGTGTTTACGGAAACATTAGGATTACGAGGCAATGAATTATCAGAGGGAGGAGAATAGGAGGAAGGCTGGAATCTAGGTTGGTGTGCGTGACACTATGTCTAGAAGTGCTCGCAGCTAAAGAATATTGGCCACGATACGCGTCGGTGGACGCTTTACATTTTCCTGGTTGCGACAGTCTTGTCACAGAATTTGGATAAAAAAATGTTACATAGAATGCAAAAGACGATAGGAATTGGTAGGTAATCGGATACATGAAAAATGAAATCTAGCACCGCAGTCAAAGTACATGAGGGCATTTACCGTGTTTCCGACAATTTTCGGACAGGAACCACAAGGTGATTCCCTCAAAACTATGAAATAATGGTGCAAGTGACGTAGAACGGTAATGCAGTTTGCAAGACTGAACTTTGAAATCTGTGGAATGGTAACACACCAACTATGGTCGTGTACTACTATACATGGCAGAAAACCGAGCAGGCGGGTTGATGTGCACCCAGTTACTCCAACGGCATCCGTCACCGTCACCAAAGTATCTCATCGTTTTTCTAGTATAATTTTCCGGTCATAGGCTAAATGCAACGAAATTCAACGTATCAACTTACCCTGCTCTGAGAAACTTAGCATGACGCGAAGCGTTGGAAATGGAGCGAAGATTAACACAACATCGCGCTGAGACCCTACGAGCAAAATTGGATCATTTCCTAGCGTTCCATGCCCTCATAGAGTGTAGGCTAATCTCCTGTGGAGGAAGAAAGCCTCAGAATAAAGAAATATCTCCCGTTTGCAAACCCGCGCATTGAACTAGACGAGCTACTACTGTGCTCAGGATGATGCCACGTTGATGTTCACAGGAAGTGCTTTCGTGAAGTTAGCGAAAGTAAATGGGTGACGCACTTGTTGACGAGAAAACAACCGACTCTCTTCATGTGTTTCATGCTATTTTACGACACAAACGGGTGTCGGCTGGTAAACCCAGGATTTCTATCTTGGAAGTGGAAAAATAGATTGCATGTGACCACTTCTAACCACCTTTAAATGTGGCACAGCAACTTCAATAGATAATTAAATGGCATATTCCTCGATAGTGTGAACCAGAAGTCAACTAAGTGGCCTGGTCATCACCCGAGCAGTGCGGCAGATCCAATGCGCCCGGGCACTCGATGTTCAGATCCCGGAGCTGACATGCCATGGCTCCGAGGCCACCTTCCAAAGGACCGTTCGCGAATCGATCACTAACTCTGCGTCAAAGTTCACCGCATCGCACGCACATCCAATCTCACAATCGGAACTAGGGGAACGACTCGCGTAACCGGTGTCAAAAGTTTGCTAATTGATCAGTGGATGCATACAATGAGGCGACATATTTCAGATGCTGAATATATCATGAGGTAGACGAAACGGAGTTAGACTGTTCTGAAGCTGGCTCCAAATTTCAGACGTAAAACAGCGTTGACACACCAGCCTGGTTGTTAAAGTCAACGCATGCCGAATGGTTGCAAGGTTTGTGAACGCAGTTATGGCACGAAGCCGAGACGACGCCAAGGCAACGTGACATACCAAGCTGATAACACGCATCGTGTATTGCGACAAGAATCATGCACAACGCATCGATCATGTAGCCGAGATCAAGTTGCCACTGACTAGGTGAGCGATAGACATACCTACTTTCGCATACGTATGGACTATCAATGATGGATGTGTGAACATCTACCTGGCGATTGTGCTTCATATGCAACGCTAATGTCCTACCGACCTCGCGCATGACCAGCACCAGCCTCCGTGTGAGCATGGAGGCATGGCCGGTTTCTAAAGCCCACATGAGGATGAACTGAACGCACGCATCCAGCGCAGCACCTATTGAGAGATCACTGACGCGGTAGCCGGAGATGCAGAGGCTTCGACTACTATTTCAATGGTCCAGGATTCGGAGCCTGCTATCTCCACCTGATGAGATCAAATGTGACCGAAACGCATCGTGGTGTGCAGTGTCTTCGGGCGGGGAACATCCAATTTTCATATAATTCGGCTACGACCCTAGGTTCACTTCACTGTGAACCGCGGTCTACATTAAGATTGCGCGTCGCAATCCAATCATATAACGTGTAATTCGAAGTAACTCTCCAATCAGTTATTAACCATTGGCAAAGTGTCGACCCAGCAGCCAAAAGGGTAAATTTGGGTGATATTCCAATCGTCTCGGGTTTGAGGCCTGCTACCTTCAGCAAATAAGGTCCAAACGCGTCGTGGTGTGCAGTGTTTTTGAGTGGGTAACACACAATTTCCATTTACTTCAACTAGGGTCTTAGTGATTGCAGTGACGAAGGTTCACTGCAGTGAGAATCGCGGTCCACGCTGAGACTGCGCGTCGCAATCCAATCAAACAACCAGTAGTTCAAAATGACCGTCCCATCAATGGAGGAAGTTTGCTCAGTTCGTCTACACTAGCTGAGTACAGGCCGATGCCGTACGCTTAGTCTGAGAAAGCGTATTAGGGTCGGAAAATCCAGTAGATGTTAGAGCGAATCACTGACTTGAACAGAAACCAAACAAACACACCAAACTAGGACTAATACGAAATGCTAGTTTATGAAGTGTCATTTCGCTCGCCGCAAAAGTATCGTTCGCAGTGTGCGCTAGTGAAGTTACCCCATCGACTGAAATGAGCGATCTAGATGTTGGGCTCAGCAAATTATCTGACACCAGATTTTATGCAATGTGAGTGTGGACGTCAGTTACCTGAATAGGTGACTGTATGAGCAATGCTCTCAATTCATGGTTCGACGCAATGCTATTTACTTTCCCTCATGCGGAATTGTCGCCACTCTGGGAAACACCTGGCCTTTCATTGGGACAGAAATTAAGAGAGACAGTTCAACCGACTGCGACGTCTAGAGTTGATCAAATCGGATCCTGGATTGATCAAGAGCATTCAAATGCGACTAGATCAAAACGCAACTTACTCTCTCCCCCAGTGATGGTGCACACTTCTAATGTCAAGAGGATGCACCGAGTTCGAAAACCCTCAAGCACAGCTGTTTTATACAAGTGCATAAATACGTTAAATGCATGAGGATAAAAGGCGAACATTATAAGGAAGAAAATGTCAAAAATGCCGATGTGATACGCTTCGGCACACACACAGCAGAAATGAATAACCAATCACAGACGGGGGGAGAGTGTGTACGTGACATGACCAGCACATAGTGGCACCAAAAGTGGCGGGTCAACGAGCAGAAGGGAAGTGGCCAACAGCCGAACGGAGATGTGTGCTCATGAATACGGTAAACGTAGATAGTCAACGAAACAAAAATGAGGAAGTAGGACTGAACTGAAAGAACGATTGCACTTGATTGAATGTGTATAGCAAAAAGGTTCATAAGAATTGGGCCTGTAGGGAAGTTCCGTTTGGTGGACAGCACTGAAATCATTGCAAAAGCACCACGATGTATAAATATCTCAGTAAGCAAGTACGAACATCTCACCGCTTGGACCTGGAATAGAAATATTCGTCTTTGAAAGCTATATAAAGTCGTTCGGTGGAAGGTTAAAAGTACGAGGAAAGGCGCATGATCATTTACCGTTAACGCATACATGTCCGGTGTTGATAGGAATGGTCCCCGAGGCCAGACCAGCTGCTGAGGGCGGAACAGGACGTGACGATCGCGCGGTACCGTGTTGAACTGGATTGATAGTGGGCACTGGAGGATGTGGCAGAGTTGGTGAGTAGGCGTGAAGGTGATGGTTGCTGGGATTTAATCCACCTGATGAGTGAATAAAGTGTGAGGGTGGAAAGTGTGATGGCTGTTGGTTTGCTTGAGTGGAAGAGAACGAAGGGTATTGGTTATGGTAAGCAACTGGGAGCGAAGCCGACTCAGGAATGGCCACGGTAACCGGCTTCCTCGGAATGCTCCGACGACCCGTGCCCACGCGCAATTTCTGCATGCGAGCGCCAAGCAGAACTGACGAATTGGGGTATGAAGGCTGGTACGGAGTGAGTGGTTGACGGGGCAGGTGAGGATTTAAGAGGCCGCGCACCTTAGAGCCGGGATTAGAATGCATTGGTGGACCCGATAACGGGCGATCACACGGAACGGAGCAGAGATATTGTGTGGCATCGGAAGGACCGCGAAGAGATGAATGATGCGATTGACTTTGCATACCGGGATAGGGATAATGTAGGTGAATAGGGGGTGGCGGGGGTGGGGGTGATGGGGTGGAGGAACGAGATTCAGATAGTCCGGAAGAGAAACTGCTTTCTGTTGAAAGTGATGCCAACTTTGCGCTCAGAGAAGAGGTCACATCACAGGCAAATCCGGAACCCTTGATGACACCCGATTCGTGTTTGTGCATTATAGTGGGTTCAGAGATTGGTTGCGTAAGTTCGGAGTGCATGTCGTTGCATGACCCATCAATGCTTGAGCATCCAGTGTAACCACTGACAGAGGAAGTTATTTCGGAAGACCGACGTGCAGGAGGGTCAGGTTTGAAACGCTGGAACCGAGGAGGCGAGTCACCTCTTGGCTTTGCAACGCCAGGAATTGCATTCACACAGGTATCTCCTTCAAGTGAAAAAGAGGTATCGGGCTCCACGTGAGTTCTCCGGCTAGTTGCTGCGAGCAAGGCCTCATATTTGCGCTGCAGCCTGTTGAAACGTGTGGAGAAAGACCGGGCGAGTAAGTAACGATAAAGCTGTAAAGAGGTATAGCTTGGAAGTGATAATGGCTGAACCGTGCAGAAGACCGCGATGAAATATTAAAAATTCGTTGAAAGCAATTGCGGCCACGAATAAATATAGAGGAAAATTGGATCACTTCATTTTGTGAAACACGGTAAAAGCATCAATATAGGAGGAAAGCAGTTGCATCGCAATATTCCACCAATTAAAACAATGAACTGTACAAATCATCAGTCGGAAAAACCGACAGGAACATGATACGTATCAAGCGATTACGTTTAGAGATCAGCTTCATGCGCTTCAGTTAAGTTATCGGGTAGCCTAGTTGGTTCCATGTTCAGCTGAGCATGCTGCGCGGATAGAGCGCTGAGACTGGTAATTAAGTGTCTAGCGAGGGACGCGACAAAGCCCAACTCCGTGGAGGGGTAATTTGTCAAATATTAACTGATGGACCAAAGTCCCTGTCGTCTGCGCAATGATTCCAAGGTATGACAGTAACTTCTGCCAGTGTCGGTGCTCAAATGCAAGTAATCTTGCGGTGGCAGATGCCACATCGCAACAAGGAGAAACATTATTAACCGAGAAAAGACATCTAGCCACATGGCAAAATGATGGAGGGCTAGGAACGTTCAACTGAGCCGTAAAGATTTCAGCCGCAATCCTATAGGATGGCATGACCAAGTAAGGTGATCCACCACTAAGAGCTGATGTTCGATGATACGAAAACTAATGCAAAAACGGTCAGGTTCTGTAGTAACATGTGTAGTTAGGAGGCGCAACATATAAGAGAACTGCGCTCCGCGTAAGTCTATCATCGTGATGAAACAGAATTACAGCATGGCGTGAATGTGTGCCTTCCACCAAGCTAGCTCAGCTAACACGTTGAAGTAGCTTTAGAGAAGTTCAGTTGTTAGGAGCCAGAAAAGTTCAAATTTACTATTTCCTTATAAGAAGTCAGGAGGAAGTCACCGATCCTCTCTCGGCTATAAAAGATTGCGATTTAGGGACATAACCTTAGTTCTATTGCAGGGGTTACCAAACTAGGGCGCGCGGGCCGGATCCCGCTTGCGACGTCAGTTCACTTGGCTAACTGAGGTGTTGTGACACGACTTACCTTTGACATGACGTATCGCCTTGTCGGTTACCCTACAGTGTATGAACAATAGAGTCAGCCAACTCATGGTAGTTACATGTGACACCATACAACCATACAATCAGTGGCCTCAAGTTTTTGGAACTTCGATGTCAGCGATCATACATACAATTTACTGATCCGTGCAACCGATTGTGTTTCGCATTACCTCTGTACTGCAGTTTTCGGTTGGTCAGCTCCGTTAATGCACGTGTCACATAAAACGCCGCATAGTAAGACGTCGTTACTGTACATTTATCACTTAAAAGCCATATTTACTCTCCATTAAGAATTGTGCTGAAAGCGTAAATTGTTCGCATATTTTGGTATTGCTAATTACGTGCAAATAGTACCATGATCAATTTCTAGCCTTGCATGTTGGTTTGACTGCAGTTAAAACGCGTTTTTCAAGCCTTCCAAATGCCATATATATATATATATATATATATATATATATATATCCGTCAGCAGAATGACCTGTCTGGCAAACCCTGACGTCAAACATCATTTTCGTCTTTCCGGGAACCCAGAGATTACCGCTTCTGACCAGGCTGGTGTTGGGGTTTGCGCTGAGTGACAGGGCTGAGCCCGCTCTGCTTGACTTGATCCCAAGCAACAGTCGGGCATGTAGTCAGACTACGAGGGTTTTGCAAGTAACCGGCAAGAGGTAACGCGCCTTATTTGCCATCCCTTCCCACGCTCCTGCAGACTGCAGCCTGGACGTAATCAATGACTGCTTTTACCAACAACTACATGACCTTCGCGCTACTCTAATAAGTCTGATATCTCCAAACTTGCCGCAGATTTAAACGCATGAGTGGGCCACCTGCCACCAAGCGAGCACTTTCTTCGGGGTGGTATTGGCCTTGGGAGCAATCGATCAGACAATGGAGAAAGACTAATTACACTTTGTCCCGTACATTGCTTGTTTTTTTTTCGAGCAGCAGTTTTCGGCACTCGAGGAGATAGACAGCTACCTGACGTTCGCCTTCACAAACGCAAGTGGTCACAGCTTCACCACATAGGAATAAGCTACAGTTGGTGCGGAAACGTAACCGGTTGTCGATCGTACTGGTTAACTTGTCTGTGCTGTTTCTCATGAATTTCGGAGGATCGCCTAGGCGTACGTACTACCGGTGGAGAGTATAAAATCTACAAGGTCATTCGAGGTTAGCCAAGTACCAAGCCTCTCTATCAACAGTGCTTGCTACAGCTTCTGATGACGAGCTGAATTCACAATGGGTGTACATTAAAAATACCTTGGTTTCTGAAGGCATTACTAGTTGTGGAGTTGCATGTCAAGCGCAGAAAAGCTGGATTACCGCCGTCTGATTGTCGTTGACTGACACACAAATCGATCCCAACTGTAGTGAAGAACACAAATCGCTAAATCGAGAATTCTGCAGTCGTTTGCGAAAGGACCGTGAAACTTGGTGGTACGAGCATGCTAAAGAGATGGAAATTGTTAGTCGCTGGTAAAACAAGAAAACTCTTCCATCTCATCCGAGTCACGGAAGGTTTCCGATATGGTGTAAGCGAAACAATCTGCGAAGATGGCCAACTAATCACCAATCTTCAAGTACGGTTGGAAGGATGGGCTGAACTAAAAGGCTCGCAGTTTTGCTGGCCGCCAGCTCCATCTGCTTCCCCTGGAACGCTTAGTGGTGCTGAGTGGTCTAGCCCCACAGGCCCCCTCTCCCAAGAAATTTAGCAAGAATTCCACCTCTTGCCGCATTATAAAATCCTCGACCCTGATGGCTTCCCTTCCGTCTTATTTAAAGATGGTGGCTATTCGCGGTGGTTCGAGAACGCACCGCTTCGATCTGAGAGGTCTTGTCTGGGGTGAGTCGACAGTCGTCCCCATCTTCAAAAAGGGCCCGCATACAGTGTGCGCCAACAGGGATCTCAGTTGGTTCCCGTCGTCCGCAAGCCTCTGGTGTCTATCATATTTCGCAGGCTATCCTCAATGCGCGAAATGCTACAGCGGGAAGAACCGGCTGAGTTCCCCCCTGGTTGCGGATGCAACGACAAAATTTTCTAACTCCGCCAGATGCTCGAGCTTCGCCTTGTGTATCGAAAATCAACAACCGTCGTGTTCCTGGATATCCCTGCTACCTTCGGCTCTGTCGACAGGACTGCATTTTTGCACTGTTTATTGAGGAATGGTGTCCAGGGAAAGTTCGTTTCTGTACCGCGTGCTATGTACAGTCTGACCTCGGGTAGAATTAGTGCTTATGGCAAGTTTTCGCTTTCCTTTGTTGTCACCAGTGGGGTTCGACAAGGATGTCCTAGTTTCCCACTCCTTTTCAATTTTGCCATTGAGGATATCATCAAAAAGCCTCTAGAAGACTCATTAAACGCTTAGGTCCGTATCCAATGGAACGGTGGAGTAAGAGGAGACCTAAGAGAGACGTTTAAGATCATGAAGAGTTTTAGTGGTATCCAGTAAACTGAACTGTTTGAGTTAGCCGGGTCAGATCACCTGCGAGGACACCAACTGAAGCTCAAGCATCAGAGATCTAGGCTGGATATCAGGGCGAATCGTGTAGTCAATAGCTGGAATAAGCTACCTCCAGCATTAATAGAATGCAGCACCGTAGAGGCCTTCAAAAGAGGTTTAAATAGGTGTTGGGCTGAACATTTTCTAGAATTATTGTAATTTGATTGCATCATGTCGCTGTGACCTCGTACTGCATGACAGTGCAGAGAATGCTTTTGTTTTTGCTTTAATTTTTTGCAGAAGCCGCGGAAGTTAATCGGACGTTGAAGTACTGAGGGCTATTGTTCGCTTGCCGGTACAAGTAACAGCAAGCTCGTTAAGCGAAAGCGTGTGTCGTTTTTGGAAGCTGACTTGACTTGATCCGGATTCGGAATCGAGGGAAAATTGCAAAAATAAGTGCTACAAATTTTTGTTCTAACTTACATTCAGATGGGACTGGAACGATAGGAAAATAGCCTGAGTGTTCCTTTTTGAGCGGATCGTAGAGGCAGGAAAGGATAAGGTGCTACGAGGTTTTGATGGATCTAAAACGAAACACCCGAAACACACCCTGGTTAACCAATCACCGCCCACGTTCCCTGCACTAGCAGCCCCAGCTGTCCGAGTTCCATCTGAAATTCGTTTCGGCGCAGCTTTTTTCGGACAAGAATCGGATGCTCACCGAGCTGGCGGAAATCGGTAAATCGATGGACAGCTGTGCTATCATGGCATATGATGTATGTATATGTGACGTATACTCTATACCTACGTGCAGGGACCGGTATACCTCACTATTAGGTATAGTCAGCGAAACACGGTGCTGATCATAATTATAACCAGCTGCAGTGGCTGTGAAAAGTAATTTGTCCCTTGGTCAAACATGCATGTATACTCTGTCGGACATACACGCTGGTGGATAATATATTAAAAAAAAACAGAAAATGTTTATAAAGATAAAACGGACGGTTGCATTCGGAGCATGATCACCCTAAATAAAAGTCGCATATATATATATATATATTGCGAACCTTCCTATGTGATACATTCTACTACAGAAGAACATGCAACATTTAGTTGGTCTGACGTAGTTCCACCTTTGTTTTCTGTTTAACGGTATGTTAATATGATTTTTTAATACGTTTGCAATTCAATATATATTTTTGTTCACATCACTGCAGTAATGGGAGACAGCAATACCGAAACTTTGCACTTCGGATACCGTACCTATTGCAGTGTTCAAATTCCGGAACAGATCGGTTAGTAATCAAAATCAGCGATTTTGATCCGCGTTGCGGACTCGAATGTTCACAAAAATAACGAATGCATCTACTGCTCAAAAGGACGAAGAAAGTGCCT